CTTGGGGCTTTGGCCCCACCAGATGCAGCTGGTGAGTGGTGGAGGGAGGATTTAGAGGGGCAGGATGTGATTTCTGCCCCTGGGAGCTGGGGAGCTTGCCTGTTTTTCCCTGGTGTGTGCCCATCCATGGGTCTCCAGCACCCTCAGGGGAATGGCTCTATTCAGTCCTAGCACTGTGAACCCACCCCAGGCAGCTCCTCTGCCAGCATGCATGTGGCTCCCAGAAGAGCAAGGAGAGAAGTTTGCACCCTGGCTGTACAAAGCACCCCAAGCTGGCTGTCTTCCTTCACTGCGGCTGTACGCAGCTCTGGAGCCCAGCTGCCCTCCTCTCCTGGCTCTGGAGCCTCCGGGCCGCTCAGCTTGGGATGCTGACATCTCCCTGCTGGCCCAGGAGGTGGCAAAGGGAAGAGGCCAGGTGTGCCATGTCCCTGGCTGCAGCTGAGGACGAGCAGCAGGACCCAGTGCCCTGCATGCCCCCAGCAGCCCCGTCCCGTGGCCCCGCCAGCCCCTTGCGCCTGTGCACTCGCACAGCCTGTGCCTCCAGAGCTCAGTCCCACCACGGTCCCTCCACGCAATGGCACAGGGCAAAGGGTCCCTTTCGCATTTCCCTGGCCCCAGCCTGCCCATGCAGCCTTTCTGCAGTACCCTGGGCTGCTGTGGGTGCAGGAGGCAGCTCTGCTTCTGCCTGCAGCGCTTGGTACCCGTTGCATCCCACCCCAGAGCGGGTCGCAAGTCTGCAGAGGTCAGGGACCTACTGGGGTTTGAAGCACAGGAGCAGTGTGGGGCCCAGGGAGGTGAGGTGAGGCTGTGCCTGCCTGTGGTGTCTCTGGAGCACAGAGCCCGTGCTTAGCCCTGCATTGCCCAGGGCGCTGCATCTCCTGGTGCTGCTTGCTTCGGGGTCACGGCCCTTTTCCCCGAGAGGACAGGGCAGCCCATCTCCCATGGCTGCGGTCCTCTGCCATAAGGTGAAGACAGGGCATCTTCCCGCCCTGCTGGACAGCCAGCATCTGCATTGGCATGAAGAGTGGAAAGGGGAAACCACCTGCCAGCAGAGCCCCAGCCCTGTGCGTGGGGACCTTGCACACACGCATGCACACTCAGGGCTCCTGGGGAACATGCAAACGTGCACCCTGTGCAGGGACAGGGTCTCGCACTCAGCATGCCAGTGCTCAGCCCCGCTGACTGAGTGCCCACAGAGACAGCAGGGGACTGCACTCAGGAACAAGCAGACCCGTGATGGCTGCTGGGCTGCAGCTTGCCCGCGCTGCCCCTGGAGCACGCGCAGTCCCATGCCACGTCCTGCCTGCTCCTGGCTGACTGAGTGCCCACAGAGACAGCAGGGGACTGCACTCAGGAACAAGCAGACCCGTGATGGCTGCTGGGCTGCAGCTTGCCCGCGCTGCCCCTGGAGCACGCGCAGTCCCATGCCACGTCCTGCCTGCCCCAGCCCCTCCGCACGCAAGTGGGGCTCTGACCGGCCCCCGCTGCGCCTCAGGG